CGAAGAAAGCAGATCTTAGTCTGAAGTCGAAATAAATATCAGATGAAAATAAAAATATTTTGTTTTCACTTCTAAGATTTTCTCTCTTTTCTAATCAGAAACTTCACCAGTATAATAATTCATATTAATAAACAAAGTCCAAGTAGACACTATATACACAGAAATTATTCAAAGTAAACTTACATTGAAAGACTCTTCCTCTCCAACTACTTTTTCTTACTGTAAAGCGGATATAAACTTCAAAATCTTAGTGGATAAATCTTTGTTTAAATTTCTAAATAGTAAATGAAATTTAAATATTTAATTTACTTACCTCAGTCACTTAGCACAAGCATAAAATATACAAAATAATGGTTTACATCTTTAATATTGGTACTTTGACGGGGGGATTTTAAAACCGTGTTTTCCGACAGGCCTAATCTCGTAAACGACACGAATTTCGGAAATGTTTATAAAAAAATTTTAAGCTTTTCTTACGTCTAAATTATTAGCACTGAGTTTAATGACACCCTGTACATATATAAAAAGTAAAATCGTAAATAAACCGAACTTTTCGCACAGATTTTAATACTAAACACACAAAAATTTTTACACCACATTATTTTCACAAAATATGCTCTTACTGTAGCCGAATCCTACCTGTAATCTAATTTCATGATGAGTTTTTTAGTTACTGTGGCTGCGGTTTTCATCTCTGATGCTGATTGCATCGCAACTCTTCAGTACATGTTTCATTTTAGGTAACAAATAAAGGTCTTAAACACTACTTTTGTCGAATATTTATTAATCGGAAACAACCGATGGAAGCGAAATGTGGAATTTGCGGCGACGAAAACCCTTAAAGACATCACAAAATGGCTTACCAATACATATCTTATTTGATTAGTATTATTTTCACAATCTTTTCGAAATTCAAGTCGTTTCATCTTAATAATTACAGCGATTTACCGCTTCACCTCTCTTATCAAAATAATTAATTAAAAACGATGGCCGGAAAAACTGTAAACGTCAATGAACACAATAGGGGAAGATGGTGCAAGATGGGGCCACGGGGTAAGAAGGGAACGTCTGTTTATTCGTGGTTAACGCGCTTTCGTCTAGCTCGGTGTTTCTCAACGGGGGCGATATTGCCCCAGTGTGGGAGTTTATCCATGTAGAGGGGGCGATTAGTAAAAATTTATATTTTGGGGGCGAAAAACAATTTTCTGGGCGATATAGTAAAACATTATATTAAGAATAATTAGATATTTTATTCGTTATATCGTACGATAATTAAACAAATACTAGTCACTAGTCTATTCAATGTAGTACGAATTTGGCCCTGGGCATCAAAATTTTGAAGTGAAGGGGGCGATACTACGTAACGGTTTTATTGAAGGGGGCGAAGATTCGTTAGAGGTTGAGAAACACTGATCTAGCTGTTATTTGGGGAATTAAATGTCAACTTCAAAAGGGATCACGGAACGAGAGAACGTCCGAATCGCTCTCTGTGTTTGGAAGTAAGACAGTTTTCCACGTTTCGGCAATATTTCATCTAATTTTACGCCCGCTACAAAGTTTCTACGAAGCAAGCATCATTGCGAACTTTTATATTACCTTTTAGACGAAGATATTATAGTATTCGAAGTAACCTTTAAGACCGAAATTGTTTAGTTTTGAAATAAACTCGACCCGTGTTCGCAGTCAGTAGGAAAAGTGCACGTTGGGGCAAGACGGGGTACCCCATCTTGCCCAAGGTTGGCCACGAATTCTTCCGCTGGCTACAGGCACCGCAATATAGTGCAGCGAACTAGTTTAAAATTCGTTGTCATTGATAATTCTATATCATTTTTTCGAATGTATAAAATAATAAGTTTAAAAATGATCTTTTTATAGAAAATGAAATATTCCACTTTTAAATCATATCTGACTGTAATAAATTTATACAGTATATACTGTATTACTTTATTATTTATGTTTTTACTTTTTATTTTATTTGTGAAAACATTTTTTTAATTTAAATGCCGTCTTAACAAGAAATAAAATGTGAGATAAGAATAGAAATAAAAATTTTTTCTACGAAAAAAATATCGTCTGTTTACAAAATAGCGAAACTGAGCATGCGCGAAGTGACAGTATCGTCTGGCAAAGTAAATACGAGTAAGTTGAAACTTTTATATTTATTTATTCGGAAAATAATAATAAATGTAGCCGTTGTGATTAATGGACACGCTGTTCTTGTGCCAATATCGAAGAAAACGACAGTTTAACCATTTTAATTTGTCCTTCTTGTATATAAAAATATCTCCATCTTATCCATAGGCAAGCCGTGCGCATTATTAGTTCAAAGTTTCCCTGTAATATAATTCGGAAACGTTCCTTTGGTAATGATAAGCTTGGCGCTTGGAGGAGAAACGTAAGGTAAATACGGGTAAAAATCTTGGAGGTTCCCGCTTTCAAGCGCCAAGCCAAAATTAAGCTGTAAAGCTGAATTAGCTCTACGGGAAACTCCCCGTCAGCTTTGACTTATTGACCGGGAAGTTTGGCCAGCACCTCACTGATAACGAGAAAGGTATAAGTTTAAAATTTAAGCTGCGTAGACCCGATCGTTTTTCTCTACGAACGTCTGCAGTGTCGGATGAAGAAAGGGGAAAAGAAACTACATTCATTTTTTGTTTTTCATTTTTTGCACTTTTCAATTGCTTATATTTCGGCAACCGCTTTATACAAAATCTTGAAATTTTGCGCATCACCTATGAAAACAGTTTTATTTAAAACGAGATATTCGAAATTACTTCGGGTGTTCCTTGTATATATTGTCAGTCAGTGATGTTTACACTAACGAATCAAAATACGAACACATTAAACCGGTTTTTCAATGACTTTTCGAAAATAATTTCAAATATTAACGTTAGATTTCTGTTCTTGAGAAATTCCAATAACGATATGATCTGTACTGATGTTCACAACCCTAATTATAAAGTCATAATATTAGATGTTACGCTATGGTTGCCGCGTATAAAGCTGTATCGAGAGCAACGGGCTCATTATAATAAAGTTGATTGGGATGCTACATATCGATATCAGGATTTGGATATGGACTTTATCAGGAAAAAAATGCTGTAAAATTAAATTTAGAATGGCATCAGTTACTTATTGTAGACAAATTTCCACCTGGTCTCAGTCCGTCTGCCTTTCCTTAAACCCGAGAACGGAATTATATAGATAAAATCCGAGAATAAATGTAGAAACCGTAGGGATACGAAGCCCCGATTATATACGAACTTCCAACGTAAACCGGAAATTTCGTTATTTCAATTCAAAAATTTTTCCCTGAAAGAAGTTAGATAGATTACCAGCACGACTATAGTGTTGAAGGAAAAGTGTGATGTACAGGGGCAAGCCACCATTGATTTGATGATAAAGAGTATATATTTTAAATTAAATAAATAAAAAATATGATTAGAAATTGCAGTCCGGAATTGTGACTACCGGTATGTCGCAATAAATAATTGTTCGTTAATTTCTATATTTTAGCGAAATTTATTTAAATTTTTTCATCTTTTAATCATTCGTTTATAACTTTCAAGGTTGAAAATTGCAAGGTTTTAAATTTGTTCTTAGGTTGCAAATAAGACAATAATGGTTACAATTGTATGATAATCCTTCACGAAAACTATTTACTATGTTTTATGTATTAAATATAAAGTGGTTTTTTTCTTTTTATATGTTTTATATTATTTTTAGAAGGGTCCAGTAGATTGCATCATATCATCAAATAGTTGTTGGTCGCAGTATGATCTTAGATTGACTGTATACAATATCGTGTTTCTTATAGGCTTTGCCTACTCTATCTATACCTGAATCTCCTCTTGTTAATCGTTTATGTAGCTTGATAAAGTAACCATAGTACGAATATCCAGGTATATGCATTTCTGGAGAATTAAGATAACCTTGCACCCAATTTACGATATCTCCATCCCTTTTTGATTTATTTCTCTACAGATTTATAGCGATTTACAAAGAAAAGCAATAACATAGTTGCTCGTTAATTATATTTTCAATTTATTTAATTTAAAATATATTCTCTTCTCCTCAAATTAATAGTGGCTTGCCCCTGTACGTCATATTTTTCCGTTAGCAATAGAGTCGTGCCAGTCATCTATCTAACATCTTTCAGGGAAAACATTTTTAAATTGAAATAACGTGTCTTCCAGATCAAACCGGAATTTCTTATATAGTTAATCCGGGCCTCCTGCCCCTAAAATTTCCATATTTGATCTCGTCTTTCACCTATCTAACTCAGTTCTCCAGATTAAGGAGACTATAAAAAATATAGTTGTGTCGTTGTCACCTAGAATCAAGGCTGTGGAGTCGGTAGAAAAACACTCGACTCCGGCAAAATTAAATACCAAGTCATTTTATGGGGGCAGAGGCGCCGAGCGATTTCCATATCTTTCCTGGACAGGAAAAGTGGCTAGGAGGAAGAGGTTGGAGACTTTTGACTTCAAAACAACGTTGTTAAGGCCATCTCAATTTACTGGCGGCAACAAACTATGACAAGAGGATGGAAAAATTCGTCCACATATATAACAAATTCCTCAATCTTCACGATGATTATGTCGAAAAGTAACAATGTTTGTAGCTAACTTTTGGTAATGAATTCATTTTGTTATTTACACCTGTCTTTGTTTTATGGACCATCGCAGCTTGAAAAAAACCGCCCTCGTAGTTAGTATTTTTAATATTTAACTTACATTAATATTTATTTGTATAAAAGATTAATTTTTAACAAATATTTAATAAGAGGGAAAGGGGACGATAAATTTTTACATCTACATATATTCGACAGCATTTTCACTTATTTTGTTCATCCTTTTTCAAACTTAATAACTCTTTTGTATTTTATCGCTAATTTCTGAAATTTTGCGGGAAGGTTGGTGTATTAGGAGGATTGATGCTACTAAATTTTGGTGGTTTAAGGTCGAAGGGGTGAGGAGATACAGCGGTCGTATGTCGTATCTCGAGCAGAGTCGAACTTAATGACGACTTTACGCGTTATTAATATTTACAACTTTTTTTAAATAAAATTCATCTCTACCCTGAAAAATAAGCGTTTTTAATTTGTTCGGCAGCGTAATTTGCTTTTCCAGTTTTTCATAGATCACAGTGTAATCATTCAAGTTATTTATTAGATAAGGTGTCGATTAATAAAACGTGTGGTTTATTAAATTATTGTTTTAAATATATATAAAAGTTTCGCTTTTCGAGAAAGATTGATTATTTATTTTGAAGTTATTTCTGTAACATAGTAATCGCGGTTTTAAGTGTATAACACGGCTGTACAGAGATTCATTTATGAGAATTCTTTCTTCTTACGAATACGTTCAGACAGGTAATTCCAAATAAAATCTCCAGTATTGAGAACGACTGGTAACAAAATTAAGCCGTGGAAACAAGCTAAAATCATCACTAAACATATCATTTTAAAAAATATTACAAATAAATAACTAGGACCGAAATACAATACGGAGACTCCTAAAATAGTTGTAACACATCCTTGTAATATCGGATATCCGGCAGCATATAACGAAAATTTCATCCTCTCATTCAAATCCTTCTCTTTGCAACAGACGTATGCGTAAGATATATGAGCGGAATAATCCACACAAAATCCCGTAGACATCACTAAAATGATCAGCGATACGGCATCGATATTTACATTCCATAACGACATGTATCCAATCACTCCCGCTTCTATGGAAGCTATTGTTATGGTGACACAAACGGCGCACTTAAAATTTGGTATGAAAAACACAAATACCACTGATATCAACAGAGCAGTTACGCATATAGTTTGAATGCACGTGGACGACACGTTCAGATATTGATCGTAAAAAACGAACCATACATTATATACAAATGTCCGATATTTGCTGTTATCGGATATTCTTCGTACGTTTTCCATCATAAACCTTTCGGCACTGGAGTCGCTTACTTTGTAACTCTGAATAAAACACCTGGAGGCCACTATCTGAGTGCCTTCACTATTAAACAAAATATCCTTTTCGAATCTTCGAGCACTTTTGAATTTCAGATACACGTTCTTGACTCCCTCAATAAATTCTTCTGAGTTGCTCAAATTGTAGCCACGAAATGAAATTTTGGCGTACGGTTCGTTGACGAAATCGAGAAATTCCCTTAACCAACATTCGGTGGTGAAACGATCACCCATAAATGGACTGGACTCATAAGTATTTAGAAGATTTTCGATATCGTTTTGAACTTCCGGATTAGAATAATCCAACGTCTGGTTAAAAACAAGATGTATTCTATGAGGATACACAGTGAAGAATTTATAATGGTTTACCATGTAATTTACGATGTAAGATGATGAAGGGAATATGTTATTATAGTCTAACCCTTCTTTTATGAATCTCATGCAGTATATACCCCCGCCTAAGTAAGATACGAATGCCACATATACTATTATTTTAACGTAAGTTTTTTGTAAATATTTTGCCAGGACGTCCCGAAAAAACACCATTATGAAATTTTCTTCGGGCTTCAATTCGTTCCTCTTGGAGTTACTAGCGTGCTCTGAAATATTGAATGTTTAAAAAAAATTCTTAAGTGAATTGACTATAAGAAATCGTTTCCTTACCTGTAGAACTTGATTTGATACTGAAACACGAAAGCGGATGAAGGTTCTTCTCCTCTCTATAACCCTCTAGTGCCATAAATCCACCGAAAAAGAATATTTGGTAAATATAATCGAGCAACACCGATAATGCGCTATATACACTGAATATTCGTATTACTCTGTAAGGCACAGTGAGGCCCATACAAAAGGATAGAAAATTTGTTACAGACGTCAACGTGATAGAAACTGCAGCTTCAGAATACGCTTCACTCATCCTTTTCTCTACCCTATCGTTTCTGTTCGTGCGCCTCCAAGAAGCCAAAAGAACGAAGGAATCATCAATTCCAATACCTGAATAAAAGTTAAAATTTAAATTTAATTTTTAAAAGAAAATATATATATTTTTAAATTGCCTAAATATAGGACTCACCTAGCATAAGAAACACAATAGAAAGATTCAGATCAACGTATTGTATACCGCATAACAGCAATAACCCGAATGCTGTAACTGTGGATAATGCCGCAGAAGCGCAACCAGCAACACCTATCCATGGTTTACTACTCGATAAATCCGTAGAAATTGTCGATATTGAAGCGAATAATAATATCACAGGGATCATTATGCCCAATAATGGTAATGCCATTTCGGTAATTCTACTTAATTCTTCGTCGAATGCTTTAGCGACGAACAGCGAAACGTCGATGTGTCGAAAATTAATATCGGACATGGCAATTAAGAACTCGTTTTCCCATTTCAAAGCCATCCTTTCCCTCTCTTCTGTAGTATCATTCAATGGATAGAACAGCCTGACTGCTCTGAAATCTCTCAGATAATTATTTTCGTCCAGTTGTACGTTGCCTAAATTTACGGCTGGTATTATCGGCTCTCCGTCGGTTTTTTGTATGGGATATCTACAAGAGGAATAACTATTTTAATTACGTTATTGTGTTTAAAGGTCGAAAAGATGGGAAAATACAAAGAATAATATATCACATCTCGAGTGGAGTCAAACTTAATAAACATTTTAATCGTTATTAACATTTACAAAACAAAAATTTCTAAATTGTACCCTCAAAATTAAGTTTTTTTGCCATTTTATAATAATATAAATGATATAAAAAATTCTTATTACAAATAATAACTACAATTTTACCGATTTCCTCATTGCTAATCAGAAATTTAAAGAAATAATTATCCTCCACTCGTCCTTCTTATAATTTTGACCATGAACCAGAGATGTTGGCATATTGCCTTTCCTTTCTTAATAATTATTAAGAAAGGAAAGGCGATATGCCAACTTTTCGTTTCGGTGTCATACTTTCAATTATGTAACTCACGTATATTAACCTCCCATTTTTGTCAAGTAATAACAATATATAATCCTGTTTCTTATAAACAGGATTATATATTGTGAATTCGGATCTGATGAAACCGTGTTGTTTATACAACACGGTTTCATCAGAATCAAATATATAATCCTTCAAATATTACTTAATAATTAGTCATTAATTCTAAACAAATTCCATTTAAATAATTAAGATATTTAAAATTAATTAAACTATATTTTTTTGTAGATTATGAATAGAATATACTAAAATTCTCACTTGATATTGTATAGTCCATTCTTGATTTCATATTCCTTTCCTCTGAGAGTTAATGCAAAATTTTCGTAGCATTCTTTATATAAATTTTTGGCGCATAACTCCTCGTAGTTTATAATCGTGCTATTCCAGTTAATACTTACGTTTCTAATCACTCGATCGAGCTTTATCAATTCCTCGATTATCGTTTCGTCTAACATCGATTCGTTACGTTTCGGCGTAGCAATAATCGATGCCATTCTTCCAAACCTGGTAACTTTCAGAAGATCAAAATCATCAGACGATCCGGGAGGAAATAACGTCTCCAGTGCATCTCTATCAGTTCTCGATCTTGCATCATCCGGTATGAAAAGATACTCTATATCGATCACAAATGCAATATTTATAAATCCTATCACCATGCACAGGGTTAGTATTAATGGAACTACTACAAATGGCAACGGGTGACGTCCAATCTGATATCCAATTCTAGAAAATATAGATGAAAGTCTACGCTTGACGCAATCGTACTTCATATTTAATCTGAAATGTATAAAAGTCTCTTTACTAAAAGGTCTTCCCGAAGCACAAGAGTAATTTTCGATTAGTCTAGACGTCGTTGTTTGTTGTTAAAAGAAAACTGAACAACGTCGTCCTTCGGCATTTGACCAATAGTAAATGATTCGCGTACACCTGTACAGTATTTTCCGTCTTCGGTCACGCGATTTCTCGGTAAATAAGTTAAAAAACGTAAAATATTTACTCATTTACTTGTATATTTTGAAACTAATAGCTAACTTATAACACTAGTTTATTCCTCTCTGTGAAAAACAAGTATATTTGCAATACAATAATTATTTAACCTAGTTTAAATAAATAATTTTTTATAGCGTAAAGTCATCAGAAGAGACTGAAATTTCGTAATCAAGATCAATCAATTTACATATAATTTAATTGATTTTTCTCTAATAACTTATGTAAACTAAATTGAAGATAAAGTGTATACAATTTTCTATAGTATACACTTTATCTTCATATATTATTATTCTAACTGTTTAAACAGTTATTTTTGTGTCAAATTACTGTTATTTAATGATAATCACATAGAAAAAAGTAATAACGATAGGGAAGCAAAACTGTGTTTCATTCGAATCCCTTCTTATAAATCAACACTAAACTCTCAAATAGGAAAGAGAAGAATAACAGAATATTTTATTATATTTAATAAAAACCGTCGAGCGTTTGAAAAGATGTAACGAGACGTCAACAGTCTCTGCAATAAGGAATTTTTTATATTCCTGAGGATAAAACCGGTTTCTAAATTGTAATTGCAAAAAAAAAAGACAATGCGTAGGTCAATAGTGATACTGTTAAAACTTGCACTCTTAAATGAAACAAATGGAAAAATAAAAGGCTCTCTCTTCACTCTTAAATAATGAAAATAATTAAAAATATATAGCCTATATTCATATATAATTCCATAATACTACTCTAATAATTGGCAGGAATATTAATAATATATTACTAGAAATACTGATAAAGTAGTAAATTTACTTGTTAGCATTCTTTGTTATTAACAGATGTATTCATATAAGACAGTTCTCGGCTTATATAACGTTGACAGGAGTATCACCTGCCGTTTTTGAATGAAACTAGTAATCTATATCTTATATATTTATAATCCTACATAATAATGTAACCATGAAATATTATCTTAAAACCGGTCTCTACTCTTTCTAACTGTTATTTTATTGTGTAATATAATCTGCTAAAAAATATTTTAAAATATCGTGTGTAAAATAATTTTGTAAGTTTAATTACAGTAAAACCTGTATAAACCGGAATATATTTCCGCTTTTGACAGGTATTTTTTCAACGTACGTTTATATGGGGCTTTATCTATAAAACTATCATTTTATAATGCCATTCGAGAGCATCACATTTGTTAGATTATATTTGCAGGACTTTGATCTCATCACTAATTCTATAAATATTGTAATCACATTAAATACAATTTAATATCGCCATTAAATGTCTTCTACAATAATCATATTCTATTCTAAATATTCTATAAGGTAATATTATATAAAATTTTTTATAGATGTAATTTATAATATTAATTGTAGAAACAGATTTAATTATAATTAATACATAACAAAATCAATTAAACTTACTTTATTAATTAGATTAATAATCGTTACATTTCACGAAGTAAAAAAGACGTGTCAATTGTACTGAGCTTATCTCAGGAGAGCGATAAAAATCATTTTGTATAAAAAGATCACGTGTTTTCCTTTTCCTCGTGTTAAATAAAATGCCGCATTGTTTTTATTCCCTGATAACAATTGATACGGTAACTTATCCTTTTACGTACTTAATTCGCTTTTATTTATATAATAATTATCAACGTTTATAATAAAACAAACAGCATAATATATACTATTTCCTGTACTTAATAGTTTGATATTAATCTTAAAGTTACTGTTGTGTTAAGTATAGAGAGGTTGCGGCCGAAGTTTTCATCTGTAAAACGTGAACGTCGAACGTCGAGCGCCGCTATCTTGTAAGCGGCGCTCGACGTTCGACGTTTACGTTTTACAGATGAAAACTTCGGCCCCAACATCTCTTATATCTTTATCAAATTCAAAACTAACAGCCGAATTCTCTACCAGGCTGTAAGGATAAATAATTACTAAGTAATCTGGCAGGCTGCCATCGCCTGTAAAATTGCTTGACGATTTTTTGGGGGTTCAGGGGTCTCGAAATGATCAAATTTGACACGGTTACGAGTAGTCACATAACACGTAACAGCTAGGGGACGTTATTTCTTAATAAATATTACTTACATTTAGGGATTTTAGTTAATTTCCTTCCCTTAGATGATCAAAATGCCACTTATTTAATAATTTAAGCAGTTAACTTTTTATATTTAATGGTAAATCATTACTGGCGGAATTAAATATGAAAGAGAAAATAATTCATGCGAGATAAAGAAACAGTAAATTTAATAGAGAACAAAAATGAAGAAAACATGACTGGAAGACAATGAAAATTATATAGAGGAAGTTTTTTTTATGGAATAAATTCAAAGACAGATGAAAGTGAGAGGAAATTGCCATATAGCAATTTAAGAGTTTTATTTTAAATGATAACACGAGCTTTATTGTTTCTTAGAATATAACTTTAAGTAATTATTAAAGCAATAAAATCTTTATATAAGCTTATTGCGTATCGAAATTCGTCCCTGGATTCGAAATCGTAAATTTTAATGGATACTTAAAAGTAATAAATGAAAAAAACCTCTACAACTAACGATGAGGAAAGTATTGTTATTAATATATTTTAAAAGGTAGGAAAAACAACTTCTAACGCAATTAATAATTTTCTAGTTTGTCTTTCTATTAATATTTTAAATTAATTAACATATTATATTGCGTCCTTGAGTATATTGTAAGGAAAAACAGCGCTCGAGCAATGTTAGGAAAATTTAATAGCATTATCGAATGCGATGTTTATTTGAATTGAAAAAAAAATATATTCAAATATTTCCCTAAAGTCAATTATTATCGTTATTGTAAAACAAGCTATAAACCTGTTTTATATATTAAAAGAAACAAAAAAACGCCAACGTTTTATTATGTAGAATATGGGTTTACTTTAAAACCTTTAACATTCATTACCATTTAAGTATGTGGTATCATAGATATAAATGGCAGTCTTTATGAATAATTCAAAAATACTCGTATAATTGCCTAAACATTAAGTTATTATTTTATTTTATTCATTCATTTTTATTATAACAAGATTTATTATTTAATACAGTATTTATTTTCACGCTACACAATTACAGACACACACAAACACATACTACAGTGAAACCTGTGTAAACCGGACTCGCTGATACCCAATATTTTTTCTGGTTTAGCAGGTTTTCGTTTTAAACGGGATTTTTTTTTAATACAAAATTGCCGAATTTTTCCGCAAATCGACAGATAATTCTATTTTTTAGTAACATATAATAAGTATTGTTTGAAATAATGAAGGTATTGTTTAAGTAAAAATACTACATATATTATTTGATATTTCTAATGATATACGCAAATAATAAGCATTAATCATTAACATTAAAAAGTAAAATTAAATTGATAACGTATAAGCATCCCCCCGATTGATTCTATTACATTTTAGAGATTATAGCCAAAGGGAGAATGGATTTGATTTTTTAATTTCTTATTACACGACCCTGAAAAGGCCTATCTTATGACACTGTTTGGAATGGAAATTAATTTATATTCCTTTACAAGTTGATTTATATTCTGACCAGGCCACCGGGCTTTTGTATATGATCATGTAACTTACAAAACGAAATTAGGTCACTTATAACATATATTTGTTTAGGAAAATAATGACTGAACAAAGGTTAATTTCCACCGAAAGATTGGGTATTCTGAAATGCCAAACTAAACCATAATAGGACATTTTAAAGTGATAATTAAACTGTATAAAAATGCCTTTAAAAGTAAGTTTTTCTTTTATCATTTTTATCGAGGAATCTGCCATGTTCAACCTTGATTATTTACACCGGATCAGTTACCTCTTATGGGTTGAATTTCAGTATTAATGCTATATTAAATTATTAATAAACTGTGCAATTATAAGATAATTATAATTAACAGTAACATACCAACAGTAAAGAAAGAAATTTACTTACTTGAAAATGTATAAAAAACGGAGAAAATGCATTAAATATGCACTCTCCTTATACTTACGCACACTTATACATGCTCCTTATACTTTAAATAATGAAAATATTAAATTTTCATTAAAAAAACCTACGTAACTGTTTTATATTTTCAGATAAGTTACATTGAATTAGAGGTATTTCTAAATTATCTGTACGTAAATATTTTAATGTCTTATTATCATAGTCATTGGCATAGAATGATAATAACCATAGTATCGACTTTAGTAACTTTAAAGCAACATTAAAACTATTTTACTCGCGCACAGAATAGGAGAAAATTGCATTGTGTAAGGATGGAAATCAATTTTTACATTACTTTTTCCTATCAAGAAAAATATAATTTATGCTCATCTTACAGGTTTTGTAAATCGTTTTCTAATTTTTTTCATAATTAATTTATTTATATAAATTATCTCATAATTTTAAGTTAATTTTTCTTCTTTGCTGATTTAAGTGTTATACAATTAAAAACTTGCTATCCCGTATAGTTTAAGTCGAATTCCAGTACTTTCTGCTTTAATTATCCTGAAAAAAAAACATAAAGGCAGGATGAAAAACTGAATGAGTAAGAGGTGCAAACAGGTTTTAGAGGACGAGCATAAATTCAGTTGCTATTGAGAACGACGTGTTGAAATATAATATTCGTTTTTTCAATATCTTTGTGTATTTATATATTAAATTATTCTAATAATTTAAGAATTAAATAAGTATAAAAATACTACGTATATAGGACTGTAGCAATAGCGGATCATTCCGAAATCGATGGTACAACATGGATCTTATACCAATGTACCACTAAGGAGGAACATCAAAATGTCTTCTCCTAGTTTATGTAGGTTGTAGAATATTAAAAATAAGTAACGTGCACTGTTTTCTATCGGATAAAAACGTTTTACAAACGAAATAAGCCCTCAAATTTCAGTGCCATGTAGTGATT